GCCCTCAGCAACTTGCCATCAATCCCGTATGTACGAAGGCATGTCCACAGACTGTTGTGTGGGATCTGGTGATAGGCTTATTCTAGGTAAACAAAACATGTACACCGGCTGGGCGTACTCCCACGATTTCTCAACAGTCTGGCGCAGGGCAAATATATCGTCAGAGATGCTTCGACCGGGCCGGAAGCCACACTGCTCTTCTTGTATCTTGGAGTGAGTTATTCCGCGGTACCTCCTTCCTAGCTTATTTGAGTAGACTTCACCCTAGAGGCTAAGGTAATGCATCGATAATCTGAGCACTCCCCGTGGTCTCCCTTCTTGAATACGGGTACAATAATTCCCGTTCTCCAGTCCCCTGGTGTCTTTTCCCAGTCATCGCAGCTTGGCAGACACGTGTTAGCCAGCACGTGCTGTGTTGGCCTAATGCCCTGAGCATCTCGGGGCGGATTTCATCAATTCTAACAGCTTTTCAATTTTTCAAGTTTTTCACAGCTTGTGTAATTTCGTCTACACAGATAGTAACATCCGCTCCCTGCTGCTCTACAGACAAGCATAGTATTTTCACCTTACAATAATTTTATCGCGATGTTCTACCCTGACGATATTTCCATCGGCGGTGCTCTCACCATAAATCGAAAGAAGTGGAAAACATTTCCAAACTATTAATGCCTTACTTGAGTTAAAGCTCGAGGGCTATCAATGCCTTATTTACAAATTCTTTTGAACAAGGAATTTATCACACATTGCTTCAGACCGGGTTTGCTCAGTACGTAGAACGTCGAAGTCAGAACCGATAAATTCCGAGTTCAAGTTCCGGTCAGGGGTCACTCGCCCTTCTTTCTTCTAAGATTAATATCTCAGTACTACGCTGTAGGAAAGAAACAAGAGTCTACGCCCTGCGCTTGCCACACGGCTGTAGACTTTGCCTTAAAACATAAATTGCTCCTGGCTGATGGCATATAAACGGAGTTCAGAACAGTACTTCATGACAAGAAGGGCGCCAACATGCCTGTCATGAAGGTGAAAGAAGACCGACATTCCAACGGAGACAAACTTTCTTTTCCTTGAGTGTTAAAGCTAAGGCAAAAATAAGCATGCAGAATATTCTGGTTGTGAAAGAAAAATTACGGACCACCGTCCGCATCAAATCCTCAAGAAAGTAGTATATCATCTTCAGATCAATTCATCTGGTCTCTGAACAAATGACGATTCATAAAAAAGACAAATGGAAGATTCAAAAAGCCTGATTAATTTTATCGGAAAAAAGAGAGCAATGAAGTATATTTACGTCACCACGACCGTAACAGAGCGCAGAGATATAAGTAGAATTTTATCACCCTTAATGAAAGATTAAACTTAGAATCTTCATCTACCACAAGTCGCAATATAACGGATGTGAAAGGGAAAGGAGATAAAAATAAATAAATAAAAGCGAAAAAAACGCATCGTAATATTACCACAGAATAAATAAACAGATGCATCAGGAGTAAAGTATATTGCAACAAAACATTACCACCGCTGACCAAGATTTTGCTCAGGTCGATAAGTGACTCAGTAACAGCTAAATGCCTTAAGAAAGGAACTAACCCCGCTAAGCTTCGGTGCAACCAGTAAAAAACGAGTAGCATATCACTGACCTGTGAACAACAGGGGCAACATGGTGTAGTGGCTTTCGATACATTCGACCATGCCGACCGTCTGATGTGTGCGCTTTACGGCTGCAATTCGCCTTGACTCATCTGATAACTGACTAAACTCTAGCACAAGGTGTAAACGTAATTTAAATTTAGAAAAAGAATTTAAATGGCAGGTCGACATAGGGAATGTCTCTGCCTTCATCTGGCACAGATAACCCCAGTATGGAAATTTAGAAAAGGAGAACCGCCTTATTAGTCGAACCGGCTGAGCACAGACAAGTGACTCCATCTGACCAGTTTATCGTGTGGAAGCCGAGACGCGGAAAACATTAATGAGGAGGTCTCCATACAAAACAGAGCAATAAAGTATACTCAGATCTGTTATCAGAGATGAACGTTTCCTTCTACGATGAAGTAATCAATGCCTTATAGCAAGAGTGCTGAAAAGCTGCGAATTCAGCGGACATCACAAACCAACTCCGTTCTGCACATGCAAATGGCTCGAGCTGATGATCTCTACAAACACATGATCATAAAATACACTTTCAATTAACTACATCTCTATCATATAGATAAACTATCCACGATCAGACGTTTCTGCTCTCCAGCTGATCTGAGAATTCTGGACATACATTATCAAAAATTTGAACAGAATGAAGAGAGAATGAATGTGGTATGTATCCCTCAGTTAAAAAGAATATGGTGAGTTCGACATGCAGGGTTCCACCGTAACACAACATTACGTTTGCTTTGTACTGCAATGACATTTATCAAAGTAATTCCTTAAAGCACGCTCGCTTTTACTTCGCGCTAGCATTACTTTCATCGCAACGTCTTTTGGCAACAAAACGGTACGCATTTTCCGGGTAGCAAATCCGCGATATTCTGAAGGTCACAGATGTTTAAGAAACTTGGCACATACGGAACGACACTATCTTACCTTCGTAGATGCGGTTAAAGTTGAGGTTCTGTGAGTCACCGTGAATCCTGAGTACTACAAAGGCGGCGCTCAAGAGACAAATCTCTAGGCAGGACAGGCCTAAAAGTAAAATTGACATGGGCAAAGTAAAATAAAGCCCGCGCACCCTTCAGAATTTCCACGGGAGCGTCAATCGACAACATATCGCACGCTTTCTCCAAAGTTTCGACATGCAGCTCTCCAACGCCTGTCTCAGAGAATGACAAGCAAAAGAACAATTTCTGAAAAAATGTTTAAAAATTAAACAAATATCATATCCAGCCACAAAGCATTACCAGAAGTATTTTCAAGTGTTCGATCGACTTCCGACAGCTGAAATACCTTTCTAATGTCCTGTTGACACCTCGATTCAGGCAAAATTTCCAAAAATGAAAAAATGTCAGTTTTAAATTGAAGGAGTCAACGTAATTTAGATGCTATTAACGCAACAAGTATGGCAAACCACGCGGGTTATACAGTAAGTTAATTTAGCTTGTTAGAAGGGGGTCATGGCGAATGACAGCCGTAAAGCACATGCATTTGCCTTACGGCTATAAGTCTCACAAACTCATCTGTAGCTACGCCAGAACAGTATGTTAACTTTCTTGCACCCTGGTTACAGCGAAGCGCAGTGGTACACCAGTAATCATCAAACCTCGCGATTTCGCCCATGGAGAGCGAGCAACGATCAAAGTACAAACGAAGAGCAGTAGAGTGATTATGTTCAACCACTATGATAGTCACCAAGGTCTGTAATGAATCAAAAAACGGTGGGCTACTGAGGCTCGTAGCAGGGGCTAAGATAAGAGCGAATGTTGAAAAGTCTACAGCTCTGTCTAAAAGAATGAAACACCTGATCACAAAGCTGGACAGAAGAATTCGAAACCACTGCTGATATTAACCCCCATGGAGAACATGATACTCTTACATGCAAGCATTCACAGCTTCATCTGAATATTCGCAGCACTTAATATGTTGCGCATCGTGAACTGCACATATCGTTGCTTCGCCCAAGAAAGAAATTCGGCGTAGGTGTGAAAATCTCGTGCATTGTGTCAACATTTTTCTGTAGGTGATTATGTGACATTTTAATCTTTATTTATATGGTTCATCTTGTCATGCTGAAACGTCACTTTATGTTTAGCAATAAAACTAACTACCGATCATAACTTATTTTTTAATGATGACGAAACGACTACTCATTTTTGTTGCAAACAATACACGCTTTTATTAAGACAAATACTTCTCTCAGTTTTCTGTTTTATCATTCGCTAGAAAATAGAGAGATTGTACGAAGTACAAAAGGCATTTACTATTGCCAATCGCATCTAAACACTGCTTCCGGTGGAATGGTAAAATTATTACAACTTTTGAGTAAAAACTGCCATCATTGTGTAGCACTCAGTTGCTCTATGTACACTTCTGCCAGAGATTTTAACTAATCGTAATTTCTGCGATAATTCATAAACCGCATGTCTTAATTCCCTAATCGGCACCTGTCGATTTTAATTGGTATCAGCTCCGCCTGGTAACGATCATTATAGTTGTATCACGTCATTGCTATAGGTGTAGCTGATTCATTCAGGCTTGCCGCTGTGTTGCTCTCGTTCGATGTAGCATAGGCAAAGCGCACAACCTTTGCTTATGCCTGCCTTAGTATATAATTTCAACGGTCAGCGATGACTGACTATAACGAAGAGGAGGCAACTGGACGCGGATCCCCGCACGCCACAGCGAACAAAAAGTGAAGCTCTCGCCTCCCACAAAGGACCGAAAACGTGGGCCGTACAAAAGAAAGCGCACGCTCTCCGCACGTTGCAAGACAAGGCGCACTATGCACCGCAAGTACAGCCAGGAGGTCAACGCGGATTGGTCCTCGAGGATGAACAAAGAATCCACAGACGCATAATCGGACCAGTCGGCACTGGAACGAGGAGACTACTATGTAGATATGAAGATAATGATATCTTATGTAGGCAGTTGTTGCGATTTGGATGTAAGCTGAGCTTGCAAGTAAAGCCTTGTGACCAGATTCTGCATCCTGTTTGCTAGCGACCTCTGGCCGGTTGCAATATAGGCGCACAATAAAGAAATATCACTGAACACCGTCTTCCATTGTGCTGCTAATCATATGGTTTCTAACTGCTGCCTGGTTCATCTATTACGAACGCAGGTCGACTCGGCTTCTCGGGGCTACGTTAAAGCTCCACAGAATGAGTAAAATGCTGCCGTCGTAATTATTTCCCGCATTTGCGTAGCATTCGGCGTTGGACTTGAACCTTCTCGTGGTAAAAACATTACCTAGATTTCCATATCTCCCCCTTAAACCGTTGTTCCACTAGCCCCACGTGAGGCCACGTTTTCTCACTTATCGATTGTAGCCCCTTGGTTATCAATCCTTCAAGGATGAAATCCATCTACGATCTAAAGAATCTGTCAGTCGTACATATTTCTTTTTTGCAACCAACAGAACGTCTTTAGTTCTTTCTTATTTCCTCATTCCGCGTCCTGACCCTGATCAAAACTTTGACCATCCTTCTTTGCTAGCTCGCAACTGCTATCTTTACAATTTTCCACCTCTTTTAATTAAAGCCCACGTTTTGCAACCTCATACTGGTAGCAAATCTTAGCATTCATTGGTACAGTGAAGTTCTTACCGCAATTGCAAATTTTTATTTTTATGATAAGGTTTCTTTTCTTATTATAAGGTTTCTTTAATATAAACTCTGCTCCACACGTACGCTTCTTTGCAAGTTTTACCTCTGAACCGATGGAATAAACAGAGAATTTTGGTTGACTCTTGTACTATTATTGATAATTACTAATAACATTTATTTCACATAATTTGGACTTCCGTTTATCCGGAACCCAGATTGCGCTGTCATTATCTCTAGCTCACTTACACTGGTTTCACGCTTTTATGCTTTCGTCCTCAACAACATATTGCCATTTGCTGCAAACTGAAGATGAGCTCGCCGTTAATCGTTCATTGAAAAGCTTCCATTTTTTTCTGCGACTCAGGCATAACAGGTTTTCAGATCGAAAATCTTTTATACTTTTGACTTCGAATCCTCAAACAACTTTGCCTTCGTGCTTCAGCCTCAGCCTTTCGTAAAATTCGCACGTACTCATCGAGCGTTTGAAATATTACTTTGTACTCTATCATGTCACATGATTCCTCATAGTCCGCGAATCCTATATGGAAGGGCAATCAATATTTAGAACACTGCGAGCGCGATTAATTCGATACTTGGATACAATCTTGTCGATCCGTGTCGAAAATTTTGACAAACACTTGGCCTGTCCAATCAGCTGTTAATCGCCAAATCCCTTGCTTACTTTATTTAATGGAAGTTTCGTTTAAAAAACTTTCATATGTGCCACAACAAATGCATAAGAGTGTAGTTTACCAATTCTTGGCAATTATCTGCAGACATCGTTCATTAGAGTTTTCAGCATTTTCGCATCTCGATTTCCAATAATCAACTTTCAGCCGCCTCAGCTGAAATATGATGTACACCCATAGATTTCTTACTGTCCATCTGAGATGAGGCTCCTCGAATTTCACTTCGTAAACTGCCGGGCATACGCATATCACTCCCAAGGAATTAGAATTTTTGACGCAAACTCTTTGGGCAAAGACATTTTATCGCTGTCAACTCTATACCTGAACGGCGATCATCTACAGCCACTGTCTGTTTAGTCCTTTATGTTACACATCAATAGAAAGGTCTCTGCGAAGGAAATACCACGCCTTCGTCAAGATTGCAAAAATCTGATTACAATTCCTTTGTAGTGACTGTACGATGTGATTAAATTAGCATGTAGTCCTGTTGTCACACTTTTCAATCCGTGTCGCCACAGACTGTGATGTGTATCAATTAACTGACTTTATCTCTAATTTTCCTATCAATAATAATATCTCTGCAAGTACAATGCGAAGCTGTCGTCAAACTTGTGCAATTAGAGCATTTTAATTTTTCCTATCATCTTATCGCAGTGGCTGCGCGAGGTCACTAAGTCAGCTAATCATTTAATCATACATTTAAATTTATATAATTGATAGAAGGCTTCAGTAACAATCACCTGCTTTGATCCCTCAGGTCAAAACACAGGTCGACACTAGTCGGTGAGCACTATAGGAAAAGATGTCAATGTCGATGTCACAGATATCAATTTCAAAGTCTGAACTCAAATCTGACAATATCGGGAACTC